ACTCTGTGGGAGTGAGTTTTTTTGGACTTCAGAAAAAGCTTCCTAGCAGGTCTACTGCATCCACTAGTTTTGGAAATACATACCTGATTGTTTCCCCTTCTTCAAACTCCTCAGTGGTTTCCTGGTGTTTTCATAAGATCAAGACAAGGATGCTTTCAGGCCTGTGACTGACTCTTCTGACCATCCCAACCTCAGCCATCCCCTCCTTAACCCTCCCTGCTTCAGCTGCCTGGCCTGTGGCATTTCCCTTCACACACTATCTTCTGTCCCTCCTTGGGGCCACTGTACGTGCCGTTCCCTCTGCCTGGAATGTTCTCCCTTCTCCTTGTAGCCTGCTTTCATCACCTTTCAGATGTCAGCTTAAGGACCCCTTCCTCTGGAAGTTTTCCCTGGTTCAACTCAGTCAAATCCTCTAGTACCCCTCTTAACATCAGAGCCTGTCCTTCACAGTCCCTGTCACATTTGCAATTTAGCATCTGTTTGTGGGATCATTTGACTAATGTCCATCTCTCTAACTAGAATGTAAACTCTATGAGAGCTAAGACCACATCTGTTTTTGCTCCCCATGGTCTCCTCACCTCCTAGTACCTGGCCTGGCTTACAGAAGGTGCTCAGGGTTTGATGGAGGAGGTGTATGTCATAACTACAGAGAGGCCATAACATGTTACAGCTGTTTGGTGCACAGAGCGGGGGAGATGAGAAGGGTAGGATCCTTCTGATGGATATCAAGGGACTCTTAGTTCCTTACAGGTCTTGGTTCTGGGTTTCCTTTGTGGACAAAAGATGGCTTTACCTATTTTGTGTGGGGTTAGGGTTCTCAGTTTCCCCTGGAGTATATATACTTGCTAACCAGGTTTTCCTTCTGGGCCTCCATTTATGCACAGACCCTGAAGCCCAAAGGCTCTACCATCATCCTCCTCTTTCTTCTCAGCATGGGGGCAGAATGGGGTGTGGTCTTCTGTAGGCCCCTTACTCTACTCAAACACTCCAGGCTTTTGAACACCTGCTCAGCTGGTGGAGTGACTCCAGTTGCTCGTCTGCCTAGGAAGCTGCTGACGTGGAAGGCAGGCGGCCTCCCTCTCTTGGATGTCAGGGCTGTAAGCTATTAGACCTGGATAGACCCTGAAGTCCAATGGCTCATTATACAGAGGAGGAACAGACTTAGCCCTCGGCACACAGCAGGGGACCGCTGGGCTTGTGACTGCAGAGGTAGTGAGCTCTTTAACTTGCCCCTTGCCTCCCTCATCTACTTGGAGTGAGGTCGCTGAGACCCACCTCAGCAGCAGAGGGCCAGTGGGAAAGTGCTGACGAGCATAGCTGACAGGCTGACTGAGTCAGGAGATGGTGTGAGGAGGGCATCAGGGACCAGCATCAGAAGGTCTTTCTCAGTAACCGCTCTGCCCCAACTAACTAGCTCCATTACTTTGCAAGTAAATCAGTCTAGGAGAAAGTATAGGTATACCTTGGAGATAGTATAAGTATAGGCATACCTCGGGTTCAGTTCCAGACTACAACAATAAAGTGAATATTGCAATAAAGCCAGTCATACAAAGTTTTTTGTTTCCTAGTTGACATAAAAGTTATGTTTACGCTGTATAGGAGAACAATGTGCAGCAAAACTCAAAATCATAAAAGACCAGGTTTGCTGGTCTGATAGAGCTTGGTGAGAACCCTGAGACTATGGCCCCTAGTTACCCTTCAGGTCTGGAATTGAACTCATGCCTGTGACTTCCAGTCAAACAATAGACAGGCATATGGGGTGAACATTTACATGAGGTAGATACACATTGACGCAATCAATCATGGGAGAACAAAACGGCAGTGTTTGCACAGTGAGACAACTGGAGGGTGGGGGCCAGGAGTACATGGGAGGGGGAAGGACACAGGAAAGAGGTAACTGTGGGAAGTGGGAAGAGAGCTGTTACATTGTGGGGAATTGTAGTCAATGTCATAAAACAAAATGTGTATGAACTGAACTACTGTGTGGAAAATGAATTTGCTCTGTAAACTTTCACCCAAATCACAATAAATTTTTTTTAAGTTATATTTACACTACAAACTCACTCACTGCTATTGAGTTGATTCTGACTCATAGTGATCCCCACTGAGTTTCCAAGGCTGTAAGTCTTTTTTTTTTTTTTTTAATTGTGATTTGGGTGAAAATTTACAGAGCAAATACACTTTCCATACAGCAGTTCACATACACTTTATCTCATGACATTGACCACAATTTACCACAATGCAACATCTCCTCTCCTACTTCCTCCCGATAGTTACCTCTTCCCTGTGTCCATCCCTCCATGCACTCCTGCCCCCTGAGCTGTCTACCTGTACTTCTTTCTCCCATGCGTGTTCTCTCCAAGGAGTGTATCTACCTTAGGTAAATGTTCAACTCATATCCGTCTATTGCTTGGCTGGAAGCCATAGGCGTGGTTTCAATTCCAGACCTGAAGGGCAGCTAGGGGTCACAGTCTCAGTAGTTCCACCAGGCTCTATCGGACCAGCAAACCTGGTCCCCCCCACCTTTTTTTTTTCCAGATGATTTTGAGTTTTGTTCCACATTGTTCTCCCTCTCTATCCAGGATCTTCTACATAGATCCTCTTCCAAGTGATTGACAGTAGTAAAGGCTGTAAGTCTTTACGGAAGCAGACTGTCTCATCTTTCTCCCGCAGAGCAGCTGGTGGGTTTGAACCAATGACATTTTGGTTAGCAGCCGAATGCCTTAACCACTACACCACCAGAGCTCCTTATGTTTACACTATACTATAGTCTAATATTGCTAATACTGTAGTCCATTAAGTGTGCAGCAGTATTATAAAAGTTTGAAGTATTGTGAGAACTACCAAAATGTGACACAGAGACCCAAAGTAATCACATGCTGTGGGAAAAATGGTGCCGATAGATTTGCTCAATGCAGGGTTGCTGCAGTCCTTTAATTTTTTTTTTTTTTAAATGCAGGATCTGTGAAGTGCAATAAAGCAAAGAGCAATAAAATGATGTGTACCTGTGATTTCCCCTTTGGGTTCTCAATTTACCCTTTCAAAATGTGAATAATAAACCTTAGTGTTCCCCCACCCCAACCCCTGCGTCCCTTGCATTTTGTCAGGACCAAATTCCAAGTATGTGCCAGACATTATTTGTTGCTGTACATTTGGTCTTCACAGCCACCCTGGGAAAGATTGTTCCCATTCTTTAGATGAAAAACTGAGACTCAAAATAGGTGCTTTCACTTGTCTAAGGCATCACAGCTATTAGAAGATGGGACTCAGGATATGGCCTTGGGTCCGTCTGACTCTAAAGCTCTGTGTGTGGTTCAAGCCTTGGCCCTTGCCTCAAAGACCAAAGAGTAAAGGGAAAATGGATGTGAACAGAGAAGGGTTAGGCAAGGGCTGCTCCTCTCTAGGAAATGCCTGAGTTCTGTGCCTTGCATTGGGGTGGGACATCTTCGGTGACCTAGAGCGTGTAGATATGTTTGGATGAACATTGGTAGCCCCCCTTTTTTTTCTGAGAAAGAGAAGATTGGGTAGGAAGAGAGACAAGGTGATGTCTTTTTATGGTTTGAGGTAAAGGAGGGATCAAGGAGACATTGATGTTCTCAGTTCTCATGCTGCTTTGCATGCCATACACTGCACAACTTCAGCAGCACCATTCACACTACAGTCTAAGTGAAGGACACCTCCTTGAGTTGTGTACTATACAACCATATGTGATAGGCCTGGCAATATCCCTTAGATGAGAGTTCCATGGTGTTCTGTTTACCTAGTGCCGCTCTGACAAGAAGTACCACAAATGAGATGGCCTTAACAAACAGGAGTTTATTCTTACAGTTCGGAGGCTTTAAGTCCAAGTTCAAAGTGCCAGGCTCTCGGGGCTGGGTGAAAGCCCCTCAACCTTGGGGTCTAGCTCTGCCTCCTGCTCTCAGCCCACTGGAGCTAGAGGCATTTCTTCACTCAGTCAGCTGCTGGCTGCTGAGGCTGAGAATCCCCCAAGGATGACAAGTAAAAAGGCACAGTCCCAATGTTACCAATCCACATGGCAGGCCATTAACTTAAGTCTGTTGTAAGTCCCAAGGTTGGCAGAGCATAGCAGGCTGCTGAGCAACGACATGGCTACATGTAGGGTCCAAGTGTGCCAAAGGCTAGAGACCATTCCCAAAGCTCCTTATATACGGGAAGCAGACCACATACCCAAAGGCAGCTACTCAGCTGCTCCAGTAGACTCCACCATGGAGTTGATTACCAGTTTCATCATGGGGAATACTACATCCAGCTGCCCAGCCACTCAGCCAGGCCTAGCCAAGTTGACACACAAACATAACCATCACACATGGTAAAACAATGATAGCAATGAAAATTAACTGAGAACTTACTATATATTATGGATTGAATTGGCTCCCAAAATCTATGTTAGAGACCTAACTCCTGTACCTGTAGATGTAATCCACTTAGGAGTTTCTTGTTATGGTGAGTGAGCACAAAAGTGGGAAGGGGAGTAGATGCCAAGTGATGATCTCCAAAGAACCAAGGAACTACAGAAGCTGAAAGAGATAGAGATCTGCCCCAGAGCTGACACAGAAAGGAGAGCCTTCCCTTAGAGCTGGTGCCCTGAGTTTAGACTTGTAGCTTCCTGAACTGTGAGAGAATAAATTTCTGCCTTTTAAAGCCCCCCGCTTGTGATATTTCTGTTACAGCAGCGCTAGGAAACCAAGACAGTATGTAAACACTTAGCATTTACTATTTTGTGTTACTTAGGCCTCACAAAAAGTTCAGAGGGCTGCTCTGAACTTAATGTTATCATTACCCATGTTTCACAGATGGGGAAACAGGCTCAGAGAGGTTAGGAGAATTGCCCAAGGTCAGACAGCTACAACTTCCTTATCGCTATGCTAGGCTGCCTCTAAGGCTGAAGAAACGGATGTGGAGGGAACTCCATTGGATGTAGATAAAACCCTCATCTCTGTGTATCTTTTCTTCCCCCTGCCACGGTCTACCCCCCATAGCTGGACAAGATGCTGGACCCCCAAGTGTGGCGGGAGGCAGCCACACAGGTGTTCTTTGCCCTGGGGCTGGGCTTTGGTGGTGTCATCGCTTTCTCCAGCTACAACAAGCAGGACAACAACTGCCACTTTGACGCTGCCCTGGTGTCCTTCATCAACTTCTTCACCTCGGTGTTGGCCACCCTTGTGGTGTTTGCTGTGCTGGGCTTCAAGGCCAACATCATGAATGAGAAGTGTGTGGTCGAGTAGGTGGCACCTCCTCCTATCTTTCTTTCTCTCTGTCCATCTTATCCAGCAGTGGATAGGTGGGTCATGGTTGCAGAGAGGTCCCCCCACCCCAAGCTGAGGCACAGTGATCAGAGAAGCACCCTTTGTCCCCAGTCCTGGACCCCAGTGATGGGTTCAGAGATGAGTATTGTTTACCATGGGGGTCCTGGGTGTCAGGGAGGTGCCTCCAGGATCTTGTCACCCTACCCCTGACTTCTTACATAGGCCCTCTTCCTCTTGTGCTACAGGAATGCTGAGAAAATCCTGGGGTACCTCAATACCAATGTCCTGAGCCGGGACCTCATCCCACCCCATGTCAACTTCTCCCACTTGACCACCAAGGACTACACAGAGATGTACAATGTCATCATGACTGTGAAGGAGGACAAGTTCTCAGCCTTGGGGCTCAATCCCTGCCTTCTGGAGGACGAGCTGGACAAGGTGCTGGGATGGGCAGGCAGATGTGAGAGTGCAGAACCCAGAGATAGGCCACGGATGGTTGGAGCTTGGGCACAGGCCTTAGAACAGTGGCTGGGAGTCACTCAGTTATTTGATAGGCAATGACCTTGTATGTGGCCAGCAAGACATGGAGAATAGGTATCAGCCAAAGCTCTTTCCAGTAGGCAGACTTGAGTCTAGATAAGGAGATGAAGCAGCCACACTAGAGATCACAAGGAGCAGTATGGGATGACTCTCTCATGTGTTGAATAGGTTTCCGGTGTACCAGTACACTGTGTACACTGCCATGTAGTGTATTTAAAATAATATCTCTTATTACTATGCATAAAATAAGTATTGAAATTGGTATTTACCCTTTGCTTTCTATCTCATTTGATCCTCACAACTGCCCTATGAGTTAGTTGAGTACTGATTATTGTCCCCCATTTTACAGATGAGTAACCTGCAAGTTGGGAGGCTTGCTCAAGGTCACACAGCTAACAGTGAGGAGTTAGAGTTTAAATCCAGGTAGTCTAGTCCAGAGCCCACGCTCTGAATCACCCCTTGATGCTTTTGGCCATCCCACAGCTGTTCCCACTATGACCCCCCACTGCCATACACGTAACCTCCCAGGTTGGGGCAAGGTGGAGGAATGTTCCTTCATTAATGCTGAGACCCAAGGTTAGACATCTTCCTCTATTCCCGTTTGTACAGCTTGCAACTTCCAAAATGACTGCTCTGGTAGGAAGTGTAACAGGAGACAGACAAGTGCCCAGGGTCCCTAGAACCTTGCTGGTGCCAAGTCCAGAGCCATGGCTCCCATAGGATAGAGCCAGCTTCCCTCGGTCGGGCCAACATTGCCCCTTCTTCATGGGACCAGGGCTCGTGACACTTCTTGTGAACTCTGACCTCCATACTAAAGGTCCAACTCCGTGCAGTAGTGTTACACCTAGGAGGCTGCATCCCGTTCCCCCGAGGTCTTCCCATGCAGTCAAATGCAAGGAGCCCTATCTGGGGACCCCTGCCTGGTTTCTTCTCCAGGTTCCTGTTAGCATAAAGGACCTCCCCTTCCATGAGACCCTTTCCCCATTCTCACAGGCCTGGTCCCTGAATGAAATGAGGGTTATAGCAGTCTTGTCATACCACGTGATCTCAATAGCCTCCAAATGACAAGAATTGCACACCCTCACAGTGGGAGGGAGACACCCCGCACAATCACTGAATATCCCACAACAACAGATAAGTGATGTCCACAGGCAATATGTAACAAATTTCCCAAGCAGCAAGGACCCAAATCTTAAAGCTGTGGTGCTCTGTCTTGGCTGCCTATATTCGAATCACCTGGGGGCTTTATAAACCCTGCTGCCCAGGCTTCACCCCAGACCAATCAAATCATTGTCCCCAGGGTAGTAAGACCAGGCATCAGCATTTTTAAAGGCTCTCATGCATTCTTATAGGAGCTCTGGTTGTGTAGTGGTTAATGCATTTCGGCTCCTAATCAAAAGGTTGATGGTTTGAACCCATCAGGCGCTAAGGGAGAAAGATGAAGCAGTTTGCTTCCATAAAGATTTACAGTCTTGGAAACCTTATGGTGCATTTCTATTCTGTCCTTTGGCATTACTATGAGTTGGAGTTGACTCATTGGCAATAGTTTTCCCATGGATTCTATTGGGCAGCCCAGGCTGAGAACTACTGCATTAGGTCTAGAGCTCAGAGCTGGGAGTGGCCACAGAAATGTCTGGGGCAGTCAGGGAAGGCTTCTTGGAGGAGGAGAGTCTGGAACTGGGCATGTTTCTAATAGTGAGGATTTTCATCTGAGTTACCTGAAGTCCTTGTCCAAATTGTAGATGCCAGTTCCCATGGATGAACTCTTGAATTGATATTTTACACTCTGCCTGGGGCATTCTGATGTCTCTTGAACTTTGAGACTGACTGGCCCAAAATAATAGTATTTAGGTGGGGGTTGGGATTCCTGTGAAGGAGGGCAGAGGGTAAGGAAGCCAAGGTTCCCTGGGATGGGGATGGGGGCTCCCTGAGTGTGGGTGGAGCTGGCCTCCCTGAGACCCCACCTCCCATCCCGTCCTTCAGTCTGTGCAGGGCACAGGCCTGGCCTTCATCGCCTTCACTGAGGCCATGACGCACTTCCCCGCCTCCCCGTTCTGGTCCGTCATGTTCTTCCTGATGCTCATCAACCTGGGCCTGGGCAGCATGATTGGAACCATGGCAGGCATCACCACGCCTATCATCGACACCTTCAAGGTGCCCAAGGAAATGTTCACAGGTAACTCCTCCCTGCACCCCCGCCCAGCCCTGGGGGTTGCCCTAGTGGCCAACAGTCAGGTTCTGGCTCTGACTTCTGGAAGACTGGAGGCTGACTGGCTTATCTGTGGGCCCACAGCCAAAAGGCTCCACGTCCCACTTCAGCACACAGCCTGGCTTTGCCTCCCAAAGAAGAGCACAAGCCAGGAGGAGAAGCTATTTGGAAATGTGGGCCTCCCCTGAGCTGGGAGATGGGCCTTTTTCTTGAGTTTGTTTGTCCCTTCCCCCAAGAGCCTGCTGAGATGTTTCAGGAAGGGATGCCTTCTCTCAGCTTTGCACCCTGTCCCAGCTCTGTCGCTTCCAGTCCTGGGTTATGTCCATAGTCCCCTGCCTTCCGAGTTGATCTGAGCTCCATGTAGGGTGACTCACCTGCATCCCCAGAAAAGAGTATCCTGTCCTCAAATGGGGAAACTGAAGTGAAGGAAAAGACTCTCAGAATAGTCACATTGATCATTTAAATTAAATTAAATCCCAGCAGTTAAGTGGAGCGCCTGTTAAGGACCACATGGTGCCAGGGTCAAGGGGCATGGGAGAAAGGAGGAACATCACACTTCTCTCAAGATGCTCACTGCCTACTAGAGTAGGAAGGAGCTCAGTGGGATGCCTCCTATAGGCTGGAGCCTGAAGGAGGCTGGGCTGCAGGCCTGGGGGAGGGAGGAGTGGGATGGGAGGGTCCTGGGTATCCCCCAAGAGCCCCCGGGCCCTGCCTACCCTGCGCTTTGCCCCTACACCGGCCTCCCGGCTCTCTGTAGTGGGCTGCTGTGTCTTTGCATTCTTCGTGGGGCTGTTGTTCGTCCAGCGCTCCGGAAACTACTTTGTCACCATGTTTGATGACTACTCGGCCACCCTGCCACTCACAGTCATCGTCATCCTAGAGAACATCGCTGTGGCCTGGATCTATGGAACCAAGAAGTAAGGGGGACCTGAGGGACAGATGGGGACAGGAGTAGGGCTCTGTCCCACTGCAACCCTCTGGAGAATCCTGTGTTGCCAAGGCTGCTTGTGAATGGGGCAGGAGATTGTAGAATCAGAGTGTCAGATCGTTCAGGGAAACTGAGGTTCAGAGAGAGGATTGTGAATTGTCCTAGGCCACACTGCTGGTCAGAGGAGAGTCAAGCTGAGGACCCAAGTCTCCTGGGTTGAGGTTCAGAGTCTTGGCGTTTCCCTAAAGTTCCTTTAATCACCATAGTCCCTTTCCTGGGCACCAACGTGTCTCTGGTGGTGTAGTGCCTAAGGCATTTGACTGCTAACCAGAAGCCTGGTGGTTTAAACCCGTCAGCTATTACTCGGAAGGAAGGTTGGGCAATCTACTTCCATAGTAATACCGCCTCGGAAACCCAAGGAGGGGTCGCTATGAGTCAGATCCGACTGGACAGCAGTGAGTAAGTTAACTTGTCTTCAGGATTCTGTTCAGTTTGCTGAGCACTTTGTGGGTATACCCTGCCCACAATATTAAGGTCCTCCTGACAGGGGTGTGAGATGAGGTGTGGATGTGGTTCCTAAGTTGGAGATGGGGTGAGCTAAGAGAACTCAGCCACAAGAAAGACTTGGGTCACGGCCTGGACCCAAGGCAGGTCTGTATTTGCTGTCAGCTCCCAGACTCTTTCCTCAGTTACGAACACATCTGTGTCCTCAGGAAGCCCTGGGACTCATCCCTCCCACTCAGCCTTGGCTGTGGCTGTTGCTGTCCTTGTCCTCAGCAAGGCTGGAGCCACCCTGATGTACTCAGTTCTGACCGCCCCCATCTGATGCTTGGACCTGGTCTTAGAATCAGGTTCTCTCATAGCTGCCTGCTCCCTAGCTGGATGCAAGAGGAGACAAGGAATGACATGAAAAGGGGCACTCTCCCGCTTCCGCCTCCCTCTGTGAGCCAGGCTGGGGCACCCTGCCAGAAGGGGCTCTTATTCTTTTTTGTGTGTGTGCCATGTCCTCTGCTGGCAGTGAAGCTCCTGGACCCCTCTCCTCGGGATATTATTTTTAAATATATTAATAAAATATACTGAATTATAGACAAAACTAATTACATTGAAAAATAGCAAAATGCTGTTTAAAATTTGTGAGAGAGTGACGTGTATGAGCTTTATTTTCAATGTATTAAATTACAAGATTTAGCAGGGGGTCTAATAACAACCACTTTCAAAGTGATGATGGGCATAAATGGTGTTTCTAGGTATCTTTAGCAATTGTAATGGGATATGAAAATATCTGGCTTAATCTAATGATGACAAGGTCAAGTACTGTTAATATGACCATGGTCAGCTGGTTATATTTATAATAGAAAGAAGTGGTAGGTTTCAGTTAGGGGTTAGTGAAGTAAAGATGGCCGCTTCTTTTTTTTAAAATACCATTCAAGTAAACAGAGTGCCCACCTCTTAGAACTCTGTCCACAAACCCTATGTTTAAAATAAGGCTAACAAGATCCAATCTTGTTAAAATGTAGCTTCTGATTCAGTATATCTGGGATGGAAATGCAAATTCTCAGCAGGGGTTAGAAGCCCTGGTTTAAAAAACGGTGGGAGCCTGGGCTAACTTCTGTTTTCAGACACTAGGGAAGTGCATTCTTCTTCTTTCCCAGCAGGGGGAGTCTAGATCAATGGACTCCTTGAGCCTTGGGGGTGGGGAGCACCAGTATCCAGTTGCAGTTAAGTGGATTCCAACTCATGGAGACCCAGTGTGTGTCAGTAGAACTGTGCTCCATAGAGTTTTCAGTGGCAGACTTTTTTGGAAGTAGATTGACAAGTCTTTCTTTCGAGGTGCCTCTGGTAGCCTTGAGCACTTAAATTGTTTGTACCACCCAGTGACTACCACAGTGCACATAGAAGCCCTTTAGTGCTCTCTGCCTGCCCCAGGTTTGTCTGATTGGCTATATCAAATCCCTGGGAGGGGCATGATGGAGTCAGAGGAGTTTGGAGGATGACAGCAATCTTCCCAGAGATCAGCATAGAGTAATATACCATGAGCACTGACTATGAAGAGAGGAAGAGGCCAGAGGGGAGAGTATGGCCAAGAAAGCTTCTTGGAGAAGGAGGCTACTGGGGGACAGAGGAAATGGGGTAGGTTTGCCCACTGCTGAGTCTTCTGCTCCACCTGGCAGGTTCATGCAGGAGCTGACGGAGATGCTGGGCTTCCGGCCCTACCGCTTCTATTACTACATGTGGAAGTTCGTGTCTCCACTGTGCATGGCTGTGCTTACCACAGCGAGCATCATCCAGCTGGGGGTCACACCACCTGGCTACAGCGCTTGGATCAAGGAGGAGGTGAGGAGTGAGCTCCCAAAACCCCAGGGGCATTTCATCTTCCCAGACCTTACTTAGACAGGCCACAGAGATAAATTTATATACGCCACCTGCTATGTGCCAGGTACTGCCAGATGCTTTCCACACCTAATCTGTCATCTTCAAAATAATGCAGAGAGGAAAGTGGCATTATCCTACTGTGAAACCCGTGAGAGCTGGAATTTGACGCAACTGCCTTGTTTTCCTGGGTCTCACAAGTTTTTTTTTTTTCTTTTTCCCCAGTTTTGGGGAGAACATTCTTTTATTTTTATTATTATTTTTTAATTTTTTATTGTGATTTGGGTGAAGTTTACAGAGGAAATTCATTTTCTTACAGTAGTTCATACTCATTTTGTTTCATGACATAGACTACAATTCCCCACAATGTAACAGCTCTCTTCCCCCTTCCTCCCTGTAGTTACTTCTTCCCTGTGTCCTTCTTTCCCGTGCATTCATGCCCCGCCCCCAGCTATCCCCCTGTGTAAACACTGCCTTTCTGTCCTCCCGTGATTGATCACTCTGAGGAGCGTATCTAAACTGAAAAACCAAACTCACTGCTATCATGTTGATTCCAACTCATAGTGACCCCCCCATTGGGTTTCCAAGGCTGTAAATCTTTACAGAACTAGATCGCCCCATCTTCCTTCGGTGGAGTGGCTGATGGATTTGAACCTCTGACCTTCTGGTTAGCCACCAAATGTCTTACCAGAGAAGTGTATCTACCTGATGTAAATATTCACCCCATATGCCTGTCTGTTGTTTGGCTGGAAGCCACATGAGTGAGTTCAGCTCCAGACCTAAAGGATAACTAGGGGGCCATAGTCTCAGGGGTCTCACCAGGCTCTATCAGACCAGTAAACCTGGTCTTTTATTTTATTTTATTTTATTTATTTTTAAGTTTTGTTCCACATTGTTCTCCCACTCTATTCAGGATCTCCTGCACCAATCCCCCTCCAAGTAGTTGGCAGTGGTACCATCTAGTTTTTCTGATCCCATGGTCATATAGGCTGAGGACCGCATGGTCTGCTAGACCCTTGGACTGATTGTTTCCATGTGTCTGGTTTTCTTCATTCTTCTTTGCTCTGGATGAGGAGAGACCCATCATTGCATTTAGATGGCCACTTACTTTGCCCCTTGTTAGCTGTAATATATATTTGGACATTGTTATAGCATATACAAATACGTATGTAGAAATATCATCTGCCAACCTTATATATGGTCATGGGTATATTCTCTTTTACTTAGACATACCTGATGGGTCTTGCAGGCTTTCCAGCTTTGACAGGTGCAGTCTTACCACTTTTCTGTCACTCAGTTTTGTTTTTGTTTTTTTTTTTAAAAATCACTGCCAACGAGTCAATTCCAACTCATAGTGACCCCCTTTGGGTTTCTGAGGTGGTAAATCTTTATAGAAGTAGATTGCTCAGTCTTCCTTCCACGGAGTGGCTGGTGGGTTTGAACCACCAACCTTTTGGTTAGCAATCAAATGCCTTAGGCACTACGCCACTAGAGCTCCTTGTCACTCAGTTTCACTCAGTTCAGTGGAAAATATTTGAGTTTTCCTTCTCTGACAGGTTTCAGCCTTACACAGTTCCAGCTTTCACAGGTTTTACTATAGTACAGATGGGGAAGCTGAGGCTCAGAAAGGTTAACATAGGTTGACAAGGGTTGACTAGTCTTTTGATTCCATATGTTTTACTCTGTCCGTGTCTGTGGAGGGGGATTATGGATCCATTTTGCAGGCATCAGAATTGAGACCCAGAGAGGTTCAGGCTCTTGACCACAGGGACCACCTCTTTCAAGGAGCAGTCCCTGATGCCACTCATCTCTGCTGGTCCTGGCCAGGATAGTGGGGTGGGGGGCAGGAAGGCAACGGGCAGGGTCAGGAGGAGGCTGTTCTGGAAGTCCTCGGGGACCGCAGCATCCATCCCCACATGCCTCCTGCTCACCCCCAGGCTGCCGAGCGCTACCTCTATTTCCCGAGCTGGGCCATGGCCCTCCTGATCATCCTCATCGTTGTGGCGACCCTACCCATCCCTGTGGTGTTCATCCTGAGACATTTCCACCTGCTTTGTGATGGCTCCAACACCCTCTCTGTGTCCTACAAGAAAGGACGCATGATGAAGGACATCTCCAACCTGGAGGAGAACGACGAGACCCGCTTTATCCTCAGCAAGGTGCCCAGCGAGGCACCCTCCCCCATGCCTACTCACCGCTCCTATCTGGGGCCCGGCAGCACGTCACCCCTGGAGACCAGTGGCAACCCCAATGGACGCTATGGGAGTGGTTACCTCCTGGCCAGCACCCCTGAGTCGGAGCTGTGACCACAGCCCCCACCCCACCTGCCTCTTCCCTTACACCCAACCTGCCCACTTGTCCTGGCCTGGTCTCTTCCTCACGGCAGCCACTGGGCCCAGGCCAGTCTCTCTGCTGAGGGAGAGAGGGTCGGCCTGCCACACCTCCACCCAGTCCCAGCTGACTTCTGCTCCCTAGACCTGAGTAGGAGGTTAGGAGCAGCTCTGCCTCCCAGTCCAGCCCCCCAACCTATCTAACTCTCTGAGATCCTCTCACCAAATTGTAGCCGTGTGACAAGAGCAATCCCAAAGTCCTGACTCCTGGTCAGGAAAGGCTCCAAGTAGCCACTTTAGGGATCACTATACCCTTTCTCTCTCCCTGTAGTTCTTAGGTATTGGTGGTCCCCCTGGACTGCCAGGTGGTGGTATGAAGAGGTGGGGGATGACTATGGCTCAGCCTGACATGGGAGCAGACCCACCACCCTGCCCAGCCCAGTTAGGCTGTTCCTGGGCTGCCTGAGAGACTGCCTGATGTAAGGCTGGATGGGGGCAGGCGTGCCAGGACTCAGGCTCAGCCTTGGGCAGCATGCTGTGGATGCTGCAGGTTCTGTTCTCTGAGGCAGGATGATGCTCTCTGGCCTGAGCTTGGGAGCAGCAGGGGTAAAGAGGCTCTTTAGCCCTGGGCTCCACGTTGGAATCTGGGTGTCCTTGCCCCTGCCTGGGGTGGGTGGGATATGTTCCTGCATCCTGCCTGGAAGGGCAATGACTGGCCCAGAACCTTCCCCACCTCCACTAGAGCATAATCATCTCCCTACTCCCCATCCCCCAGCCAGCCTGAAGCCCAGGGTGGTGGCCTCTGCTTCTTTCCTCAAGAGAGAAGGGGACAGTGCAAGTAGGTTTCCAGAGCACAATTAGATGGTTCATAGCACAATGTAGATGGTTTGGAGCACAATTGTGAAGCACACACCCCTTCCCCTCACCTGGGGCCACATTTTCTCTCTAGCGGCAGCTTCTCCCCTGGACCGGGGCTCCCTAGAGTTCAGGGGCTCACGTCCAGGAAGCCTCGTGCCTGAGGAAAGACAGATAGATAACTTCATTGCCTCTTTGGGCCGCAACCCCCTCTCCTTGTTGCACAAGCACAGCCAACCCATGTGCACTCTGTGTGCAGACACATTGGGAAACTTGCCTGAGCCTTCCCCACTGACGGTGGGAACTCCCATAGACAGTGCTGTGGACACGGGAGGTGCTGAGGAGAAGGGCATAGTCTCTGTCCTGGGGGCACCTCCAGGAGCGTGCAGCCTGTGGACAGCATCCCCACCTACCTTTATGTACAAGGCCTCCCTGGAAGGAGGGATTGCCCTCAGATTTGCAGGATGGGAGGACTCAAACCTGACTGGGGACGGATGGATGGATGGATGGGTGGCTGGATGGATGGGTAGACAAGTGGAAGAAGGATGGATGGGTGAGAGGGTAGATGGAGGGATGGATGGATAGGGAGGGAGGAAGGAAGGAAGGAAAAAATGGAAGATTGGTTGGGACAATAGGCTTTGAGAACTCTGGTTGACAGGGCAGGAGCAGGCCAGGGGGCAGACCCGCCATCATGGAGGGTCCCAAGTTACTTTTGCTGTAGCTCTGCCTGCTCTCAGCTCTAGGAGGAACAGACGAGGCCCACGGTCTCCTCTTTACCCTTTGCTCCCTGGTGCCCCCCCTTACCCAGCTCCTCTTCTGTCCCCCCCCCAACCTCACTCATGCCTCCCTCACACTTTTTCCCCCTTCCTGCCCCTTTCACCCCTCCTTCTATCCTTCCTGAGTGTTTGAGGGGAGAAGGAGGTCCACATATACCCAGAGAGATGAGCTTTGGGGCACAGCATCCTGCGTTAGGCCCCTTCACCTGACAACACCTCTTACCTGGCGCCATGCCCAATCTCAAGCAGAATTAGCAACAGGAAAAGTAAGGCCCCAGGAGAGACACTCCACTATATATACTCTTCTATAGATTCTATTTCTATTGTATATTCAATCTGTACATGTGGGTGTAAATGCTGTTAAATGACAAACCCAATATTATACTGTGGCTGGTGGACTATTTTCATCCTCAGTGCTGTACAGATCTATTTTCATTGTATATTTGATATATTTTTAATTTTGTAGCGTGTGGCTGGGCCAGGCCCCAGCCTGCCAGCCTGGGGGAAGGGGCTGAGCTCGAGCTGCCGTACTTGGTTTCCATGGGCTCAGCAGTGAGTGTAGCCTTTTGCTGTCAACCGGGCCCAGTCACAGCTCTGTCGTTGCTGTGTGTTAGTTGTAGGGCCCATTGTGTGCGTGTGTGTGTGTGTGTGCGCGCGCGCATATGTGGGTGTGGGTGTGCGTTGTTGGGTGCTGGTTTTGTGATTCTCAGTGTTCACCAGGTTCCTGAAGCCCACACTGCCCGCCCCTGCCTCTTCCTTCTCTCAGCTCTAGCATGTTAGGCCTCAGGGTGGGGGCCTGCAGAAAGCCCCTGCTGTGGAGAAAGGAGTGTGTCTTGCTGGTGAATCACTGCCTTCGCACCTCTGGGCTTGCTAGCAACAGGGAAGGAGGGGCCTCGGGGGGAAAATCCCCCCGAATTTACTTTTCCATCAGCCTCTTGCTGTTCCCACTGGAATCATAAGCTCTTCATGCGGAGGAAAAGTATTGGGTTTCTTAAGACGGTGAGACCCCTCCAGAGGGCATCTCACAGCACGTCTGTCCTTGCATTTGTCCTTGAGACATCACGACAGTGTTCAGAAGGAAACAGCTGGCCCCTCCAGTGTGCTTCAGACACACCTCTACTCACTTCTACTGGAGCTAGAAGCCAGCTATGGGACAAGGCCAGGAGAGTCAGGGGCAGGTGGTCCCCCTGACAAGGGAGGATCCAGCCCTAGGCTCCCTGGAGGAGCAAGAGGTGGCCACAGAGGGGCAGGCCCTCAAGTCTCTGAACAGGGTCCCATTCCCCTGGCTTTGGTGCTGTGATGAAGTGCCCACCATGTGACAGAGTGGAGTGGACTCTGAAGCTGGGAGTCACAGAGGTGGAGGCAGGGCAGGGACCTGCCTGAAGGAGTCTCCCTTGTCCCTGCCTGCCCTCCAGCCCCAGTCACCAGCTTCTTGCTCAGGGAGCATTCTACCCTTTCTACTGCAGCAGCATGAAGCCAAGCCCAGATGCCGGTGGGAGGCTGAACAGGTGGGACACACAAATTGATGCCAGGCCACACGGTGTCTGCCCTCCAGCAATAACCTTGTTGGGGATGCAGCTTTTCTTCTACCAGAAGCCCTCCTGAGCCAGCCTGCCACAGTGGTGAGACTGGAGGCCAGAAGCTGCGTGGCCCTGGGCCCTGTGTAAGCCTGCAGTATTACAGGGCATGAGGCAGCCCTTCCTCACAGGCGTGCCCCTCCGCCACCAGAGTACACCTCACTGCAAGAGAAACTGACAGTTTAGAATGCACCCGCCAACTTCCTGAGCAACCCTGAGCCCTTCCACTAGACCCTGAAATGTGGGATCTGCTGCTCCTTCACTGGGGCCTACTGACGGGCTGGGGGAGGGAGGGTCAGCGTCCTTACTCATCCAAAGCTCTGCTTTGTACAGACCCAAGCACACATACCAAGCAATCATTTTTTGAGTTCTGGCACAAGTTCAGATCCATCCAAGTCCATGTGTCCCATGGCTGGTCAGTCCTGGACCAGGATCACTCAGCCCAGGGAAGGGGACATGGCATTGTCATCCCTCAGTGTCCCTCCTTCCTCTCTACTCTCCCCTACCATGGTGTACAATAAAGTGTCTGTTCTTACCAAACTCCTATTGTCTTTCTTACCCACCACTGGGATCCAAGAGGAGGAAGCCCAGGACCCTGAAGGAAGCTTTGGGTTAAAAAGTTGGAATGGAATGAGCTGGACAGGGTGCTGTGTGGAGGTTGTGGGTGCTGGCTGGCTGGGTAAGGGCATGGAGGAAGGCAGGGAGAGGGCAATTATTTATTTTCTTAGAAATCATCTAAGGTATGAAGTCAGTCACAGAGGACAAATACTGTATTAGTTCGCTATTGTAAAAAGAAAAGATTTATATATGGAAGGAAACTGTTGATTACCAGGGTGGGGAGGAAACACTGCTAGACAGAGACAAGTATTGATTTGGGTGAAGGGAAGGGCAATGTACGAGAAGTGAGTGATCAACTTAAAATTTATAAATTAAAAATAAAGAAATTATCCCAAGTATCAATGATAAACAGGCATTGGTGGTTCAATGGTAGAATTCTTTTTTTTTCTTTTTAATGCTTTTTTATTGAAATATAATTTATATACAGTGAAATACACAAAACTAGAGTGACATGGGTCAATGCTCTTTTTTTTTTTTTTGGCAGTGTTCCTTCCCTTCCCCTCCCACCCCTTGCAACCAACAGAGAAAGTTTCCCTCCACATATACACCTTTACAATGGTAGAAGTTTTGCCTTCCATGCGGAAGACCTGAGTTCAATTCCCAGCCAATGCCCCTCAGGTGCAGCTACCACCCACCACCCATCTGTCAGTGGAGGTGGGCATGCTGCTATGATGCTGAACAGGTTTCAGCAGAGCTTCCAGACTGAGACGAGAAAGAAAGACAGGGTGATCTACTTCCTACAATCAACCAATGAAAGCCTTATGGATCACAACAGTCCAATCCCAACCCATCAAGGGGATGGCACAGGATGCTGGCAGCTAACAACAATGTCCACCCTGGTATTGAACCTTAGTAGGTTCCAAGTACTCCACAAATATAATCAGACGTGGAAAATGATACTCAGCCTGATGAGAGGATGGTGTTCGTATTATTTCACAGGACCCTGCTAGGGAAGTTCCTGTCCAGCCTTATTGCCAGGAGGTTTATCTTTTATCTCTGCAAGGATGGAGCTGCGAAGGGCCTGGAGATCAGGAAAGTGCCACTGTTGAGACCTGAGAGTGAGGACGGGGGAAGTAGGGGCCCTTGAGGGTACTGGGCAGGGTACTGCTAACAAGCCATGTTCTGGCTTCAGAGAGAGCTGCCCTTCTCTTCAGAGTAGCGCTCCCTTTTGCAAATGTAAGTAGAAGGAAAAGAAGAAACACAGGACTTGACATCACCTAGTTGCTCAAATATCAATGCTAAGTATTTGTTTATTATGCATCTACTGAATGCTTGGTGGCCCTGAATGGTCCAAATGGTTAACGCCGATTTCTAACCAAAAGTTGAAGGTTCCAGTCCACTCAGAGGTATCTGGGAAGACAGGCCTGGCGATCTACTTCCAAAAAATCAGCCGTTGAAAATCCTGGAGCACAGTTCTACTCTGATACACACGAGGTCTCCATGAGTCCAACTCACCTTGGTGCAACTGGTTACTGACTGCAGCCCTGTGAAGAACAGAATGGGC